AAAATTAATGATGAGTTTCAAGTTTAGTTTGATTACATAATGGATTAAAATTTGAACAAATTTTTAGAGTCAAACACGTTGAGCTAATAGATGTAGTTTGGGTTTTGAGGGTATGTTCCCTCCAACGTTTAGATTCAACTCTGACTGAGTGCTATCAACTCCTTGGGGTCACGGGATCTTGGCAAGGGTGAAACTCAGAATTTTGTCTGAGAGGGGCCAACGTATATGCATATAAACTATTGAGTTAGTTTCAGTACATTACTAATTTAACATAATTTTTTATGAAAGCGTTGCGAAAAAAGTATTTCATGAAAGGTTGTGTTTGGAAAGGTGTTCCAAACACATTTCTAGCCATTAATTTGACGTTTGTTTTGATTTTTCAAATTATAATTTCATAATCACTTTTGAAAACTCCTTTCTAGGCGAGAAAATTTGGCTAACCCAGTCGTCCTCCTGGAGTCCCCCCGAATGTCCGACCGAATGACTGGGACAGTGTTCAGTTTTTTTTTGGCACATGTTATTTTTATATTGTAAATAAAAAATATTTTCAAATTTTTTTTAATTTTTATTAGTTTTGAATAGAATTTTTGATTATGTGTTTGGTTATAAATTGTAAATTTTTTAATCAAATAACTTTTCTAATTTCAAAAACTCAAGACTCCCTCCAAAATTCAATTTAAAACTCTTTTCAAAACTCATAATCAAACAAATTTTCCACACTTAAATCATAATTCCAAAACTCAAAAACTCAAAATATAACTTTATTCTCAAATCATATTTAGAAAACTCTATCAAATGATACCTAAATAAATCTAACAAATTGTTTTTTGATTTTTAAAAGTTTTGAACTATTGATTAGATCTCAGTATACAATCAATCAAACTACTACTTTAAGCTATTTTATTAATTAATATAATCTAAAAAATATTAAATAAAAAATGATTAAGATCCCTAAAACATAACATTTATTTACACTCCAATGATGTTAAATATTACATGTCAGTTGATTTATTTACAAATCAATCAATTAAGATCCAACATTTGCCATGTCATTATGAAACAATTTAGGGGTGAAGTTTTAGGTTCTCTAGTACTATTCATAAAAAAAAATAAGTAGCATTTACCATTTGGTTTAAAAATAATAAGTGACAAGAACCTCCTATATTAATAAAATCAACTCGATAAAATGAAGGGAATTTTTTTTTAGGATCCCTAATATTAAGATTTTATAGTATAAAGGACATTCAATATTTTCATAATGTCTAAGGTCTCTCAACATCGATCCAGAGAAATTTCAATCCTAGATAAATTTCTCCGCAGAGAAATCTGGACTTCCCAAAGAATTTCTCTAGGTTCAAACTAGAGAAAATTGGAATTTCTCTGAGTACCAAAGAAATCCAGAGAAAATTGTGCTAGAGAACAATTGTGTGGCTTTGTATGGCTCTATCCAAAGAAAATTGTGTTAGAGAAAATTTGTGTGGCTTTGTATGGCTCTATCCAAAGAAAATTATGAAGAGAAAATTTTTATGGCTTTGTGTGGCTCTATCCAGAGAAAATTGTGTAGAGAAAATTTGTATTTTTGATCAAACCAGAAAAAATTGAACAAAAAACAAAAAAAAAACAGATAAGAGAATTTCTCTGGTTTAGGCATGAAAATACACCAATCAAGCTCATGAACACAAAGTCAAATTTTACTCACTACTGAATCTTCAGCAACAATTTTCTCTGTGTTTTCAAATTTATTTGATTTGCTTACAAATTTATCTATGTTTTAACAGAATGATCTACTGCAATTCCAATTTACACAAACAATAAACATAGACCCAACCACATACATACATACATACAAACAAATCCAATACCTTCTGGAGCTGATTGTAGCTAACATTGTCGCGATGCTTTGACTAAAATCCATAGGTAGAAAAGTCACCGAGGTGACACCCTGAAAGTTTAATGAAATACCACATAAATATTCATAACTATATATATATATATATATATAATTATGATTGTATGTGATAATATATTATTAAAAATAAAATAAAATAAAATAAATAAGTACATAAATAAATAATATATAATTATTTGAAGAAATGGTTCAAAGAAAATGACACCAAAAGTTAAATAAATAAATAGAAATGTAATGATAAATAAATATAAAAGTAATAATCATAATAATAATAATAGGATAGTTATCCAATCAAAATAACAAATCTGTGAGTTAATTAGGATGAAAGGTGGCATTGGTGGGTTACACCACCTGTACATAACATATATGATTTTGGATCTAGTCATCATTATGAGGATACAGGCCTTTGTATATAAGGCAAGTCGAGGCAGCAAAATTGAAGGTACCAAAAAGAAGAAAAATTAGGATAAGTACTGCATAGAAGGGAGTCCCGAAAAAATAGGAAAAATAAGAAGGAAATAGTAAGACTCAATCTTAAGGTGGATTAAATTATACTTTGAGTTATCATAATTTATTTTATGCAAATTGTGTTTTATAAATTATATTAATATTTCATTTATGTTAATTATTTTCTAAACTCTATTTGCTTAAATTGAAACCCACGGATATGTCTATTTAAATTTTAATAATTATTTGACAATGATTTTGTAAACAATTATTTTCTGTAAGTACCACCATGAGAGTCCCATGCCTTGGGGGACTTAAATAACCATTGGCCTCTATTTGGCTACTTTGTGGTCCTCTGTTTGTCATAAATCTATTGACCTATGTTCTGACTGTCACTCCAGTGACCTCTGTTCTGTACCGTGGTTATGGTTATTTATTTACATAATTTTTGTATTTTAGTTTTTGTCACTTTAAATTATTTGTTTATTTAAATTAAGTTATTCTAACTAACTATCCATGGTTATTTTGTATTCCCTATACTCTTGGCATAATATTTCTCACTCTGCTATGTGCGTATAGCTGCTATCTTTTCAAGTAATGAGATGTAAGGAAGACCCATAATCTCATGTAGTGAAACTTGTACAAGAATTTGATACTGATCCATTATTTTGTTGTTCTTTCCTTTTCTTCCCTTTTTTTTTTTTTTACTGGAGGCCAGTCACTGAATAAAAAATAAATAAAAGCCCTATAAATATACTTTTTTTTATCAAAATAGTCGAATGAAGTTAATTTTCTGTTTAATTATTTTCTTACTTCCATTTTGCCTTTGCTTACGCCACTTAATTTGTTACGATTAGAAATTATTCAGTAAGTTGCAATTCCAACCCTAAGCTCTTGGGGATGGGTCGTGACAACCGACCAAAAGTCTTTATGTACAAAAGTCACCGACCAGAGAAATTTGTGTGGCTCTATCCAATAACTTCTCCACCAAAAGTCATCGACCAAAAGTCTTTATGTATAAAAGTCCAAAGACCAAACAATTGCAGATATGGGCTCTTAAACATTTTAACCCAAACATACATCATAAGCAATCTTCCAAAACTTTCTTTGCTTCAATGAAACTTAGAGTAATTGTTCAGATATAAAGCTCGCTTCGTACCCCGCCTCCTTCTTCTTGTTGATTTTAATGCTCTCAGACTCAGAAGCCTTTGTAACATCATCTCGGATCCTCAACAGCCTCACCAGCAATAGCAGCAATTACTTGACCAATCAAGAACGCTGGTTCAATCAGACTCTCGATCACTTCTCTCCATATGTACTCTCTCTCTCTCTCTCCTCTCTTTCTCTCTCTATCTATGCATTTGATCTCAAAGTCTGTGTATAATTGTTGAAAATGAACTGATCTCAAAGTCTGTGTATAATGTTAGGATGGTAGTGGTGCTATTAGAGATGAAGACCGAGAGAGGAGAAAGGAACAAAGAGAGAGGAACGTGCAGAGAGAGAGAGGGTTTGGTTTAGAGAGGGAGAGAAATTAACTCGCATGAAGATGGCAGAGAGAGAAAGAATCAAATTTCTCTGCGTTATATGGGCATGGATTTAAGAGACTTTACACATCATAAAATAATATCGTGGATCTCTTCCATTACTAAAAATAGAAGAAAGATCTTAGACTAATTTTTCATAAAATAGTTATTTAAAATATGAAATAATTAGAGATCATTTCATTATATATGGTAAAATACTAATAAAATAGAAAGTAAAGTAATTTTTATAAAATTAAGAAATCATCTCATTATACATTTTACAAAGACTACTAAATATAAAATTAATAATAAATTGTCAAAATTCAGAGGGGGCTGGCGCCGGCGCCATTCCCAACTTCTACACAATTCCGTCCCTAAGTCCCGAGATTAGTCGAGGTGTGTCACGTTTGTGGACTCTACCCGAGATTTGTCCGATCTACGTAGAGGGAACGATTGGCATGAGTTTCGAGATTAGTCGAGGTACCCCACGCCGGTGAGCTCTACTCGAGATTTGTCGAATCCACATAGAAGAAACATTTTGCGTGGATCCCAAAATTAATTGAGATAGACATAAACTGACGGAGACACTTGGTCATCAAAAACAAAACAAGAACCCAAGCCTCCACTTAAACTTGCACTTGTCTGTCTAGATGTTTAGATCACACCATGTTTAGTTCCACAGAATTGAGTTTTTATTTTCTGAATTTTTTTGTTTTAATAAATTTTTTTAATGTTTTACGCAAGATTTTTTATTCTTTAGATACATCTAATCTCAAATATTCCATTCTCCAAATAAATAAATAAATAAATAAAATAAAATAAAATAAAATAAAATACGCCTAAAAAATAAATGCCTTCAAAAAATTCACCAAATACAAAAAATATAAAACAAATATAAAAATTTAATACATTTTTATATTTTGTTGTATTCAATGATTTTTTTAAAGATTTTTATACAAATTTTTTGACCTTTTAAGTATATTAAGATTAAGTGAATTTAAAAATTAAAAAATTTATTAAAAAATTTTAAAAAATTATTAAAAACATAAAAATATGAATTGAAAATTCAAAACCAAACAGGGTGAGAATCCAAAATGGAAAGCAGCATAACAAGATCCAAATTATGAACAAGCATCATCATCATCATCATCATCATCATCATACATACAAGGAAACAAGAAACACCTCACGCGTGGTGTGTTTCTTGTGTTTGTATTACTCGCCAGAATAGAGAGAAAAAAAACAAACTCTCACTCAACTCTGAGGCCAGAACAAAACCACAAGTTTGTGAAGGTATCATAGCAGCTCATCAACAAAAGCACTGCAGATGAAAATCGTCAAATGTTTCCATAGCACAATTACAGCCACAGATCAACAACACCGCAACAAGAACATAAACCGGTACTTATTTATCTACACCGCCAATAACAAATGGATGACTAATGAAGTGACTGAAAATAGTAGTCGTCTATGTAGCCTCCGCAAGTGGAAAATGCAACTTTGTCATGTATTTCTCAAGGAAACTAGTCCCACAATATGAGTCCGGGCTACCAACGTCAAAATCCCCCAGTTCCACAGAAGCCTCATTGTAATCAACCGCTCTGTCATTAGCGTCATTCAGCGATTGGTGGCACTTGTTACAACTCCCACCACCATTTTTTCGAACCTGTTTTTTGTCCTTGCCGCTGCTGCCCCCTTTAGAAGGTTTGCTGCCCTTCTGCTTGTTCTTTCCTTTTTTCTTCCTTTCAGTCTTGGACAGTGGTTTCTTGATTCTCACACATGTTGGTGCTGCTGGAGACGGATCGTACACGTCTGGAGCCCATGTCACAGTCAGATTCATTGGTGGTGTCCCCTGTTTCTCACGGCTACCTTTCATGGCAGATACAAGTTTCAAAGGAGTCTGCAAGAGAGAGAAATAAAGAACAAAGAAGAGAGAACAAATGGAACTGTCAAAAAAAAAACTTATTTCACCAGAGTTCATTTAATCAGCTTAAGTGATTGACAGCTATTCTCCAGATCAAAAGGTGTGACCCAAAGAAAAACCTATATATCAATAGGTATATATACAAGTATATGCAACTCTCCCAAAAATCAGCAAAAGAATACAACGAAAAATGGGGAAATCATATCTCGTCCACAAAAACAAGGAAGCCACCCACATCCCTTTCAAAGCAAAAATCAACCTTTCCTTCCCCTCAAACAACCTTCAGTTTCTTTCTCCCTAAATAAGGAGCCACATCCCCAACCTTCTCTTACTACTTCTCGTTAAGAAAGTTCTTGCAACATAAATCACATACTCATCAAAAATAATCTACCAGGCAGGAAGATATAGAATGTTACTTCCAGCCATCAATAGTATCTAATTCTTATTGGAATTTGGCTCAAAGTGAAGAACAAAATTAGGGATTAACAACACTTAAAAATCCTAATCTGTACATAAATAGCCCTGAAAAGTGTACCAGCACCCAACCCCAACCACCTCCCACACACTTACCCCACCTCCTATAAGAAACTGAAAGGCAATACCCCTGAGAACCCACAAACAATGAAAAATGTAAATTAACTATTTCCCATTAGCACCTTTAAGAAACATCCTGATTGTGCCAAAGCATGCAGGTAAGCACTGCTCAAATACTTCAAATTGGAGTGATCTAGGCAGATGATATGACTGACACGTTTGGTATCCAATGAAGCCATTTATCCCACATTTGATTGCACAATTTGATGATGTTGACAGTGCGTCCGGATAGAACACTATATCCCATAAATGGAGGATAACTCAATCCCAATCCCCAATCCCGTCTCTCCCAAACATGGGATGGGATAGAATAGATTACCTCCACAATCCTCCTTACCCCAAGGATAATCCTATTCCCCCCTCCTTATCCTATCTGGAAACCAAACGTGACCTTAACTATCTGTCTTGGATCAAATCAGCATCAAATTCACATGATAGGAATCCAAGCATCATGACACATGACAATATGGAAAGCACTCGGACCTAAAATGAATCCACAATAGTCACTACCAAGGATAAGTAGTGCAAACTTACAGGCAACAATATATGTTTAGTTTGAGCTGGCATAACAGATTCATAGTAATTTTGCTTCACCACTGCAGCAGATTCCTCTTCATCTTCCACTTCAGCACCCTCCCTGTCCCCATCTTCCAGATCAATAGACCCGGCAAATGGTGATTTCTCACTAGACAATGGAAATGTTGTGCACTTGGATAAGCATTTATCAGAAGTTACAATGGTCGATCCAGTCTGATCGGGCTCTTCACATTCATCTTCTTTCTCCACAGTGCTGTTTTCATTCTCATCAGAAGATTGAGGCAAAATGGAGTTTAGTGACAATTTATGGTCATCCTGAATATGTAGAAATTCACCCAGATCATTCCCAAGGTCATTAGATACACTTTCTATGACACCACCATTACATTGTGATGGCTCCAGATGCAACTGCTTCAAGTCATGTGAACTGTTCGCATCTTTTGAAATTGATGTAGAACCAATGTCCATCACTGAAGTCGCAAGCTGTTAAGAGAAACTGCTTTAGTCAAAGGACTAAGCACGCATGTAAACAAAGTCAAATGAACAGCACATAGCTAATTCAAACAACAGCATGTCAGCAAAAATCCAAACATGTGGACTAATTTATGGTAATTCACTAGCTCAAGCACAAACTCAGGCAGCATATTTGCCCCAGCTTTAACCCATCAAGTTTTCCCAGGTTCAGGCTGAAGCCCAAATACCCAATTGCAAATAAAGACAAGCCTGAGGGAGGCAATAAAATGGTTTCAACAGGTTCACATTGCATTGGCATAATATGCTAATGAGTTTGTGTACAGCAGATACCGCCATATGGGGCAGATAGAGAAAGCATGTAGTTCGTGTACAGAAGGCTGCATCAACAGTACTAAACTGTCAAACTTCAACAGGAAAATGTAACTACTCACTTCCCTCAGCCCTCAAAACCCCCATCCCACAAATACTCATAAGAGAAAATTTGTAGGTCTGCCCCTGATTCCAACCATCAATAGAACAAGATAAACACAATAAAGCTACTTCTCAAATAGCCATAGAAGCACTAATACTATCAGTTTACTCAAAAACATCATTATGATTCAAGAAGAAAATAACGAAAATAAGACATAGGCGGACCTAACCTAATACATCATTTAGCTTTAAGTATTTGGAAATACCAAGAAGTAGTGGGAGTCCTGATCTAATAGACTGAACAAAAAATTACGAGTCAATGAATCCCCCAGCTAAAAAGAGGAAAAAGGGAAAACCACATGAGAAAAATAACATAAAAGCAAATGAGAACAAAACAATTAATGTCTTTTTGTTGCTTTTCCCTTATAAATCCCTGTAAATAGACCCTTCATAGCCAATAAATGCAATCCAATATTCCAGACTGGGTATTATTAATATAACAATATAAATTAGAACAAAGTGTACAAAAGATTCAAACTTACTTATTTCCAGAACAAGATAAGGCAAAATTAAGAGGGTAAGGAGTATATCAAATATATAAGCACAAACAAAACAATAGTCAAACAAGCAAACAAAGCAGGATTGTGGGAATCTAACATTTGCCCCCAAAACATAAATATAAGCAAAGAGAAGAAGTTTCGTAGATGCAATTATCTCAGGAAACAAAATTAACACAAAATGAGTCCAAAAAAAAAACAAACAAACAAACAATTTTTCTTAAGCAATACATTACAATTAACCTTCAGATTGATCAAATTGCGCTTTCACTTTCATTTTCACTGAAAGAGACTGCACAAATAGACAATGAATCCATGTACCTCAAAAGTAAGCTCACTACCAAGAAACAACCTTTGAAAATTAAAGAAACTGAATTGTGCCAACAATTGAGCTGCTCATTATGATAATAATGACAACGCAACCTTTTTCTCTTTACATAATAATAAATTAAAACACATAATTATGTATAAGCTACAAAATTATGACGGGTTATTAAAAATTGAAAAGCACCAAAAAGCTATATAGTTAATCATTGACACAGATATGAATTAGAAACTACCTCTGTGAAACAAAAGTCAAAACAAGGGAACCCCACAATCAATACTGCTGTTTCAGAGGCAATTCAGATTTCGCAACGGCTCGATCGATCGCCGATTTGTCAACGAATAATTGGGTAACTTTGCTCGATACGATCTGATTAAAAATGAAAAACAAAACCCAAAAAGAAAAACACGAAAAAAAGCAAGTGTTAACTAAGATTACCACGCCGATCACACTTTTCAAGACTTTTCAGACGGTGAAAGCTTGAAGCGCCATGGAAAGAGGTCAGGTAAGGAACAAAAGGGCGGGTAAGGAATTCAATGGTCAGCACCGAAGGCATTATTCGATGCTCTTCCAAACCCTAAAACCCCAAATTAGTAGTAGTAGTAGTAGTACACAGTTAGGGAATGATGAGCACAGTGCGAAATCGAAATCGAAATCGAAATCGAAATCGAATCGATCGCTCCGATTGTAGATCAGCCTATGGGAAGATCGTAACGCGATGATCTCGGCATTGAGAGTGAGTACTAATAATGAAACCCAGAGAAGACGGAGAGATGCGTACACGATATTCTTGATTGTGTTGAATCAAGGGCGTCAATGTTGAAGATAAAATATATGGCCCGTCCAGCAAGTTTGTTATTTCAGTAGTTTATTTTTACTAAGCTTTCTTAAAGTGGTGCATTGTGTGGTTGAAATTTAATGTTAAAAAATTGATGTTGTCATTAAATCTCAATCACACAATGCATCACTCTAGGAAATTTTAGAGAAAAAAAAATTCTAGAGGATCCTTGCTCTAGTTTATTAGTCTTCGAATATTTTACTAAAAGTTGAAATAGTGGGGTATTTTTTCATAATTTTTTTTTTTAATTTATTTACGTTTTATTTAGTTTATATTATTTTTTTATATTTTAATAAGTCTTATAAGTGATATAGCTACTAAACATCCTTAATAATATTTACATTTACAATGTGAATATTCACACTGTTAATGTGAATATGAACATTTCAATATGAATGTTCACGCTGTCAATGTGAATATTCATTTTGTAAAATATAAATATTTACATCACCAACTTGTTAATCGTTTAAAAAATATTTGTAAAGGTATAAATGTCTATAAAATACTTTAAATATGAAAATTAAGATTTGGTAAATTAAATGTTCAAATAATAGGACTTATTAGAATACAATAATATCTTATGGACTAATTGGGATACAAACACTTGAAAAATGATTTTCTAATAATTCTCCCTAAAATAATTGTGTTGGGGTTGAAGATTGAATTTTTTTTTTTTTTTTTTAGTTGAATGTGATATTTATCAGAGAAAAAATAAAATGATTATGAATTTGATATCATATTTTGTTTTATTAATTATTTTAACTTATTTTATTATTTAGTATTATTTTAATCTTAAAAGGTTTAAAAAAAATTTCTGAAGACCTTCGTAGACCCGCACGCATAGATATTGTAGACGGTAAGGTGTTATTAGGCTCGTGAGACGAGTTCAGATCCTCTCCAGTCAGTGTCTCCAGCCATTCCTCCTGTCAACGGTCAAGATTTGACCACGTCACTTTGAGTAAAAGTTACGGCTCAGATCAGATGCTTGCTAATAAATATATATATATATATATATATATTTGAATTTCATTTCATTCAACACGGCAACAGAGCTTCCCATTCACTTTTTCCCTCCCTCTTCGAAGCTCTAGTGAACGACGATTGGCGGCAAATCCAAGTCAGTAGCGAACATCGACGATCTCTCCCTCTCTCCCTCTGTCTTATTAACAATGTAAATCTGCATCAGATCAACAAGTCCAACTGAGTTCTGAAGCAGCATAGGCTCAGATGTTCAAATCTCTAAACAAGAAAAAGAAAACGCAGACGAAGTTGAATTTTTGCAAGCAATAGGAGTCTTTTTTACTAGGTCCTAAATCTGGAAATGGATTTGTTCTGTAGAGCTGAAGAACTAAAGATTCAAGTGAAAAATTAGAAAAATCCCACAAAAACAACATAAATCTATGCCTAACTCTAACAATGACTTTAGATTTATCACTGACCAATAAACAACAAAAATAGATTCACTCTATTTTCATTTCCAGGAAGAAAAAAAAAATGCTAAAATTAATTCACTGAAAAATAGAACCCAAATTGTATAAACTGAAAATGAGCAACTAGGTCTACTCCAAATCTGAAAATGGAGTCAAAAAACAAAACTAGAGGCAATAAGAAAAGCAAAAAAAGATCAGATTTTTACAAGATTTATATCTTCAAGCTCTCCAAAACCTAAAAATAGAATTGAAAATGAGATAAAAGCTAATGTAGATTAGTAGAAAAAGAAAGAGATTTAGCGGGGCACTTATTCGTCCGATCTCATCAACACTAATGACGACGAACTCATTCCTATTGTATGAACCAGCAACGAGTCGTCCTTTGGTATCCTTTTTTATTTTTATTTTTATTTTTTTTATTAACAAGAATATGATTTGAGCCGTAGCTTTTGCCCAAAGTGACGTAGCCAAATCTTAGCCGTTGACAGAAGGAGTAGTTAGAGACACTGGCAGGAGAGGATCTGGAGACTATCACACGTTTTATTTCAATAATTCAAATTGTTCAATAAGTAGAGTTTATCGAGTATTTTATTTTTGTAAAAAATCATATTAATTAGATATTAATAATTACTTGATTAGATCATTTTTTTAATAGTAAATATGATTTTAAAAATAAATTATTGATAAAAATATATTCTAATCAAGAAATTATTGATGTTCGATCAATATGATTTTTTTATAAAAATGAAGTAATCAAACAAGTCTACTGAGCTGTTCAAATTATCAAAATAAAATAATAAATCCCATAAACTCAATACTGCCGTCCAAGGGGAGGTCTTCTCCTATTGATTACATAATGGCCCCGTTTGGTGTAACTGTTAAAACAGATTATAGATTATAACTTAACAGATTATAAATTATGACTTTAATCAGAAACTGTTAATCTGTTTGGTGTCGCTGTTGAATTATAGATTTAAATTGCTGAATAGTATTTATTAAATAAGCTGTGAAGTAGCTTTTTCAATTAACTTTTATTTTTTGTTATTTACTACTTGTCTACATTTATCATAAAAAAAAATATTTATAGTCTATTTGGGTCTTTTTATATTTTTTAGAAAAATAAAAATATAAGAAAATATAAGAGTATAACCGTAAATTAACATGTCCACAGCAGAAGCTGATAATTAAAAGTAAGAGGTGAGCAGTTTCTCAAAATCAACTTTTTTGAGTCAAAATAAGTTGTTAAAATCAAAAAATGTTTAAAATAAATTTAACCAAACCGTTCAAAATAACTTTTTTAAATCTAAAAATTATAAGTTAACTCAAAAAATCCAAACAAACTTCCCCAATTTTATACGAAAGGTTTGGCAATTGCTTTCTGGACGTGGATAATAGATTATGGATTACGGGCTTCCAATATTACATCTGCTAAGTAATGGGCCTTTTAGGATTGGTCTTCACCTGGCAGGGATATAAAAACAAAAAAATCGATAGAATCGATAATCCAGTGAAAATTCTACCAAATTATATACAAAATTAGTCTAGTTTCGGTTTAATAAAATATTGAGAACCATATAAAAGGTTTGGTTAGTTGATTTGCTTAAAAACTCATGAATTAAATTGAACTAAACCGGTGTTTTAAAGGTATATAATATATATTATATAATATAATAAAAAACGTTGTAATCTCTTTGAGGTGGGAAGTCTTAAATCTAATATAGTTAAATTAAAATAATATTTAAATTCTCCAAATGAATTCCATAACAATAATTATGAAATTACAATCACTTACTACTAATAATAGAATCAATAATTATGAAAATGACGAAGTCTTAATTCAAAAGACTTTTCATTACCTTCAACGCAAGCATTTTTTCTAAACATATATTTTTTAAAATTTTAAATTATACATGTCATAAAGATTTCTTCATAAAATTATGTTATTATATGTACAATTTAATTATTTATTTATAGAAATATCCAATCAATAGAAATCATGTATTGTTTTTTTGATTGGCATTTTTTTGTTTAGTGTTTTTTATTTTTTAATTTTTAAAAAATTTTAGACTTTTAAAATATGCTCCACTAGATGAAATAGAAAAATAAAAAATAAAATAAAAACATTTGAAAAAATATATATAAAAAAAAAACTTGTTTTTTGATTTTTTAAAGTTTTTTCTTTTTTTTTTGGATTTTTTCAGATCTATATCTACTAGCATAAAATCCATACTATATACGGGATAAAATAAATAAATTAAATATAAAAAATTAATGAAAATAAGTAAATTATTTTATATGTTTGAATTTTATATTAATAATATGGTTTATTTTAAAACTATATTATTAATACCCATTCTATTTATGGGTATAAATAAATAATGAAAAATTAGTGTTTAAAAATAAATAATAATATAAAATATGTCTAAAATATGTTGTAAAAATAATTTAGAATCAATTAAATTTTATTCATTTTTATCAATACAAAAAAGAAGGTTTTTTTTATACTTTTTATATCATTAATTGTGTGTTCTAAGTCTTTAATAAAAAAATAGATGTGATAATTTAATTGGTAAATTTTTTAAAAAAATTACAAAAAATATATTTATGATAAAATATAAATACATTTTGTTTTATAAGTTTCGTAATTTTAATTTATCGTATAACAATAGTAAATTACATTTGTCAATATACTATTTTTTTTCCTTATTTTGTAAAGTTTAGAAATTTATATATTCAAAATTATAAATTGTCTTACATCAAAATTAAAAATAGATTATGATTGACTTGTGGTGTTATAGTTGGGCTATATATCAGAAAGGACTAGAAGTTACTCACTCAATATTTACGCCAACTTGATCTTCACATAATCATTAAAAATTATTTTGGTCTATGTCTAACTTATTAATCATTTAACCTATTTACTTATTTATTTGATAAATAAATATTTGTAACTATTTTTTATAATAAAAAAAATATGGACATATTTTAGGGGGATTTTTTTTAAGGTCCCTGATATTAAGCTTTTATAATATACAAGACATCAAATATTTTCATGATGTCTAAGGTCTCTCAACATCGATCCAGAGAAATTTCAGTTCTAGAGAAAATTGAAATTCTCTAGGTTCAAACCAGAGAAAATTGAAATTTTTCTGAGTACCAAAGAAATCCAGAGAAAATTTGTGTGGCTATCCAAGAAAATTCTCTGACTTCACAAATTTATCTAGCTCTATTCACAAAGAATTTCTCTAACTTTGTATAATATGTAAGCCAACAATACAATCTTTACTAACAAATTCACAAATTTCTCTAGTCCAAAACTAAAGAAATTCTCTCCAAACCAGACAGATCAGAGAAATTCTCTGGATTGAAACCAGAGAAATTCTCTCTATTTGCAGTAGAGTTGTATTTTTATGAACAGACCTTGGTGATTGTACATTAATCCAAGAAATTTCTCTGACTTCATAAATTTCTCTGGCTCTATTCACAAAGAATTTCTCTGACTTTGTGTAATATGTAAGCCAACAATACAATCTTTACTAAGAAACCCACAAATTTCTCTGGTCCAAAAC